CCCAACAACTGGAAGGTTCATCATTACCTCAGTTAGCACAGTGTATCATTTTCACCATAAAATTCATAAATAATATTTTATCTAGAACTCTACATGAACTAGAAGCCTCAATGATTCTTAATAATGGAAACATAATTCTGCAAACATTTCCTCACTCTCCTCTCTATACCTTAACATTGTTCTATCTAAAATGGCCTTCTTATAATCTGCCACGGGCATGCCATGTTTTTCAGAATCCAACTCACAATTCTAATCGACCAAGCAGCCTTGATACATCTTCCCTTACCACTGCACTGCTTTGCATAAATAATGTAATAACGTTAATATATTACCCATTAACTTGCTTTTTTTTTTTGAGATTCTATTTAATGTATTATTTATAATCTTTTATACATACTACAAGGAGAATGTTTTTCTTTTTTTTTCTTTTATTATTCATATGTGCATACAAGGCTTGTCATTTCTCCCCCTGCCCCCACCCCCTCCCTTACCACCCACTCCAGCCCCCTCCCTCTCCCCCCCACCCCCTCAATACCAGCAGAAACTATTTTGCCCTTATCTCTAATTTGTTGTAGAGAGAGTATAAGCAATAATAGGAAGGAACAAGGGTTTTGCTGGTTGAGATAAGGATAGCTATACAGGGCATTGACTCACATTGATTTCCTGTGCGTGGGTGTTACCTTCTAGGTTAATTCTTTTTGATCTAACCTTTTCTCTAGTTCCTGGTCCCCTTTTCCTATTGGCCTCAGTTGCTTTAAGGTATCTGCTTTAGTTTCTCTGCATTAGGGCAACAAATGCTAGCTAGTTTTTTAGTGTCTTACCTATCCTCACCCCTCCCTTGTGTGCTCTCGCTTTTATCATGTGCTCATAGTCCAATCCCTTGTTGTGTTTGCCCTTGATCTAATGTCCACATATGAGGGAGAACATACGATTTTTGGTCTTTTGGGCCAGGCTAACCTCACTCAGAATATGTTCTCCAATTCCATCCATTTACCAGCGAATGATAACATTTCGTTCTTCTTCATGGGCTGCATAAAATTCCATTGTGTATAGATACCACATTTTCTTAATCCATTCGTCAGTGCTGGGGCATCTTGGCTGTTTCCATAACTTGGCTATTGTGAATAGTGCCGCAATAAACATGGTGTGCAGGTGCCTCTGGAGTAACCTGTGTCACAGTCTTTTGGGTATATCCCAAGAGTGGTATTGCTGGATCAAATGGTAGATCGATGTCCAGCTTTTTAAGTAGCCTCCAAATTTTTTTCCAGAGTGGTTGTACTAGTCTACATTCCCACCAACAGTGTAAGAGGGTTCCTTTTTCCCCATCCTCGCCAACACCTGTTGTTGGTGGTGTTGCTGATGATGGCTATTCTAACAGGGGTGAGGTGGAATCTTAGTGGTTTTAATTTGCATTTCCTTTATTGCTAGAGATGGTGAGCATTTTTTCATGTGTTTTCTGGCCATTTGAATTTCTTCTTTTGAGAAAGTTCTGTTTAGTTCACTGCCCATTTCTTTATTGGTTCATTAGTTTTGGGAGAATCATAACTTGCTTTTTTTATATCTTTGAGGTTTAGGGTTTTTATTTTAATGTTTCTATCTCTTTTTGTAGATAGAATATCAGTTTCTCTCAAGGAAGCATAATACTTCTACTTTTTTGTTTCTTCCACAAAGCCTAGAAAACTCCTGGGTAGACAGAATTCCTTAAATGCACACATTTTACTGTATCTTAGGCTCTTATACTTCCAAATCTAAAAGCTTGGGGTTACAATTTAATACCTTAGGAAGATAACCTGAGTCTGTGAGCCTCTGCACAGCTATCCAAGTTAAGTTATGAAATAAGGTCAGTAAAGGCGTATAATGTTCCTTCAGCTGAGAGTCTTCAATTCCTTTCAACAATTCAATGAGCAATAATCTAAATTTCATGCTATCCTTTCTCCTGTTTCTTCTAAACTAGTCCACTTAACTTTCTTGCCCCAATCTGAAATACACTACAAAGATTCAGCAAGCACATAATTCCCAACAATTCACCTTCTTTTTAGCAATTTCCCTTGATTTGGAAATGATAGGATATCAACAATAAATATTTGCAGAGAAAATTCAAGCTCAAAAGTTCATCTTTGTCTAATAAAGTCAGGTAGAGGGACCAATACCAACTGAAATAAAAATTTTCTAAAAGACAAGTCTAGGGCAATTAGATAGCCAATGAATGAACTGTCTTTTACACAGTTTTGTTTTTTTTAATAGAGATGAGTGGAGCCATATGCTCTTTAAAAACTGTAACTGAAAGGTATTTTACTGGGATTTGATTTTGTGTGTCTATTTGTTTGGACCTAGTGGGAATATGCTCCCAAACATCAGCCCCTTTCCAAACATGTTTCCACAGAAAGAATTAACCCTAGGCATTTGTGGTACATAGTGAACCACCTAGTATCTTTAAGACAGATATATAAAAGAGAAGTTGGGTGCCCTCCTTGGAAGAACTGAGAAAAGAGTCCTTCAAATTATTTTCTGTGTTCTGTGATTTGGGATGAGAAAACCCAGCTCAGAAGGCCATACTCAAGGAAGTATTAGTTTCCTAATGCCTAACAGTGCCAGGAAGAGGCCACATCTCTGAACCACTCTGTGAGGACATCTGTCTCTACCCAATCATGGTTTAAAATAGTGCCAAAGAGATGCTAAGTAAACTCATTACAGCTGACAAAATCTCAAGGAAAACAAAGTTTACCAGATTTATCATTTTTATGATTATGTGATAAGAAATTACTCAAGTTATCCATCATCATACAGCAACTTCAGTTCCAAAGAATACTGACTTACTTCGGGCGACAGCACTCTACCATTTTTAAGTTTTTCATCCACACTGTTTCTTTGTCTCTGGAGCTGATCCTTTTCTTTCTGGAGGGCTTGAATTTGTTCTGAAATCTTTATTTTCTCCTCAGTTGTGCTGCTGTCAAGCTGCACACTCTTTTCAGACAACTCTTGTTCCAACAAGTTCAGGCGAGTTGATATTTTCAAACTGTCTGTGTTTAAGGCCTAAAAAGACACAACCCAACAGATAAATAACAATTCAGACTGCTTATAAATTAGGAAAAACAGACAAAATATACACTCTTACTGTTTTCTCCCATGGATTTTTTGGGGGTTCCTTATCAGAAACTTAAGTTAAATGCCTCTTTTAAAATAGATAGACAGATCGATTGATTGATTCAAACTATGAATTTACCATCAAGAATGCCTAGGTTAGGTTTTAAGAGGTACTATTTTTCTTTTTTCATTATTTTCTAAAATTGGCTTTTCTTCCTTGGCTTGTTACATGGTAGAATTGTTACAGTTTCTTAGAGGTTGATATTTGGTGTGTTTAAACATATAATTTGCTTTTATTCTTATGGAGTTATCTATCAAATTATAAAGTGTTTATTGTAGCTTAATTTGAGGATAGTAATATGTATGTTATATATAGTAATTATATGTATACATTGCCATAATTTATAATATATATATAATGCTATCATAAAGTTTATCATTTAAAAAAAAAGCAGTTCCTTCCCTAACCTTTCACCTGAGTCCCACTCCCTAGGGCCAGCCTCCTTCCTCCTTTTTAGCTGTTTCTTCTGGTTTTTATGTCTTTTATGAATTTTAGGTATTGTCTACTGTGTATGTATCATAGGAGTAAGAGTTTATCACCTCCTCTTCTCTACTTATACTTCCCCCTCCATTCTCCCAATGTAAGTTACATTACAGCTTTTAGTTAAATCAATGTTCATTTATCTCATTATGATTTTATGGTATTATTCATACCTGAACTACCTAATATAAAATGACCATACTTCCATTTCATCCAACTTTTTGTGAATTATAACTAATTCTTCTCCAATAAAACTATAAAATTCCTCTCCACTCCTTTCATTCTTTTCTGGCAATGCTTTGCCTAGAACCTCCATCCTCCTAGTGAACTAGTGAACTAGTTATCCTGGAACTTTTGATATTTCCTAGCAATGTCCATGATGGGTCACATTTTCAGATTATGGAGTCTTCCTTTTTTCAAAGTTTATGCTTTTATTTTTGGGGAGGACATCCTCCAGTAGTTTCCTGAGACAGGTTTAATGCGAGATAATTTTTACTTGAAAATGTCCACATGCAATCTTCACATATGATTAAGAATTTGGCTAAAAGAATTACTGACCCCGGGAATCATTTTCCTTATTAGTCTAAAGATTGTTTCAGGTCTTTTAACTTCTAATGAAGAAAGCTGAGAAGCTCAGCGCCATTCTGATTCTTTGATTGACAAGTGGATAGTCTTTTCTATTTGGAGGCTTCAGGGTCTGTTTTTCTTTTTGTTGCTCAGTGCACCACAAACCTTCACAGTGCTTTGCTTTGGGTACTCATTTTGCTAGGCTCTTTTTAAAAATCTGTTTTTCTTACATCTTTTCTTAGTATACTTTAATAGTAAGAGGGGATTTCATTGTGATAATTCCTTAGATGCATATACAGTGTACTTTGAAGAAGTTCACCCCCTGTTCCCTTAACCTCCCCTTTTCAAACAGTGCTTTGTGGACTTCATCATACTATCTTCATATTTATATTTATATACATATATATGTAATGTACTTTGATCCTCTTCACTCTTTTGTACCCTCTCCTTTCCCACTCTTCCCTCCCACTGATCCCCTTCTCAGTCTCCCTTTTACAATCAAGTCAAAATCATCATCATTTTAGGTCTAGGTTCACATATAAGCAAAACCATATATGCTGTATTTGGCTTTTTGAGCTTGGCTTATCTCATTCAACATGATTATCTTCAGTTGATTTTCTGCAAATGACATAATTTTATTATTATGGCTGAATAATACTACATGGTGTATACATATATGTATATATGTATATATTACATTTTCTTTATGCATTCATCAGCTGTTGGGTACCTAGCCTGATTCCATGGCCTGACTTAACGTGAACAGTACTTGTATAAACATGGGTGTACAGGAATCTCTCTTGTATGTTAACATATACTCCAGAAGTATGCCCAAGAGTGGTATACCAGGTCTATTTTTAATTTTTTGATGAATCCCCCCTACTGATTTCCACATTAGTTGCTCTAGTTTACATTCCTACCAATAGTGTCTGAGGGCTCCTTTTTCCCACATCTGCCCAGCATTTGTTGCTGATGATTGCCATTCTGACTGGGATGAGATGGAATCTCAGTACCATTTTGATTTGCATTTCCTTTATGGTAAAGGATGTTGAACATTTCTTCATGTATTTATTAGCCATTTATAATTATTCTGGGATGAGATGGAATCTCAGTACCATTTTGATTTGCATTTCCTTTATGGTAAAGGATGTTGAACATTTCTTCATGTATTTATTAGCCATTTATAATTATTCTGAAATCTATTCATTTATTAATTGGATTATTTGTTCTTTTGCTATTTAATTTTTTGAGCTCTTTTATATTCTGGACATTAATCCTTTATCCACTGAATAGCTGGCAAAGATTTTCTCCCATTCTGTGCAATGTCTCTTGATTCATTTGATTCCAATTGTTTCCTTCGATGGGCAGAAGCTTTTTTAATTTGAGATATCTATTCTTCTCTTATTTCCTGGGTAACTGGAGTACTACTCAGGAAATAATTACAAATGTCTGTATTTTCCAGTGTTTTCCCATGGTAGTTTTGGATCTTACATTAAAATCTTCGAACCATTTTGAATTGATTTTTATACAGAGTGAGAGATAAGGGCCTAATTTCACCATACTGCATGTAGATAACCAGTTTTCCCAGCACAATTCATTGAAGAGGCTGTCTTGTCTCCAGTGTATGTTTTTGGCTTCTTTATCAAAATCAGATGGCTGTAGCTGTGTGAATTTATTTCTGGGTCTTCTATTCTGTTCCACTGGTCTTTGTGTCTGATTTCGTGCCAGTACCATGCTGGTTTTGTTACTCTAGCTCTGTAAAATTGTGATACCTTTAGGGTTGCTCTTTTTGCTCAGGACTGCTTTTGCTATTCAGGGTCTTTTATGTTTTCATATGAATTTTAGGATTGATTTTTCTACTTTTGCAAAGAAAGACACTGGAATTTTGATGGGAACAGCATTGAATCTGTAGGTTGCTTTCAGTAGTATAGCCATTTCCAAAATATTCTGTCAATCCATGAACATGGGGGATCTTTCCATCTTCTAGCATCTTCAATTTCTTTTTTCAAGTTTTATAGTTTTCATTGTAGAGGGCTTTTTTTACCTCCTTAGTTAAGTTTACCCTTATTTTTTGAGGCTATTATGAATGGAATTTTTTTTCCGATTCTTAGTATATAAAAGATGTATTGATCTTTATATATTAATGTAGCAAGACACAAAATTAATGTTTATCAGATCTAGAAGTTTTTTGGTGGAATATTTAGGGTCTTTTAAGTATAGAATCATATCATCTGCAAATAAGGATAATTTGACTTCTTCCTTCCCTATTTGAATCCTTTTTTCTTTCTTCTCTTGTCCTACTACTCTAGCTAGGAATTCCAGTAATATACTGAACAAAAGTGGGGAGAGTGGATACCCTTGTCTCATTACTGACTTTGTATTCTTTCAGTTTTTCCTCATTGAGTATGATGTTTTGCTAGGCTCTTGATGGGTTATTTCAATCTAGAATCTCACATCATTAGTGTTCAGAATTTTTTTATATTGTATGTTTCATAATCTCCTTGTTTTCTTTGTTCTCTCTTTGTGGAATTACTATTACTTGAATGTTGGTCTTCCTAGATTTATCTGCCAATTAAATTCTTATTTTCTAGTGATTTATTTTTTAATTCACTCTGAGATTTTTCAGCTTTATTCTTTTACCCTTTTCATTCCCAAGAATTTTTTTCATGTTTTCAATAACCCACAGTTCTTCTTTTATGGACAGAGTATCATCTTTTATCACAACGAATATACCAAAGTCTTTTTTGTAGTTTTTTCAGCTTCTTGCTCTGTCTCTAATTTCTGAGTTCCTTTTTTCCTAGTATCTATCTTTCATGGGGGTGCCATTCCTTTAATGTTGGTAGCATTTAAGAGTTAGGTATTAAAAAACTGATTAGATAGCTGGGCATGGTGGTGCATATCTATAATCCCAGCACTCGGGAGGCTGAGGCAGGAGGATCTTGAGTTTGAGGCCTCCTATTTTAGGATCCTATATTAATACAAACAAAATCCAAACAAGCAGAAAATGAGTAAGATGTGTGGTAATAAGATATATGTGAGATCCCAAATCTAAGTATTTTTAGGCATTTTTTTTTCAGGAAGTATTACAGAAAATCTGCTGGTTTCCTACTGGGAATATAAATCCAGCTTCTGGCATCTTGGGATCTAAATTGGAGTTAGGAAACAGATATCTCAGAATTCATATGTTGACTTGCATTCATTCCGTTTGGAGTATTCTGACTAATCCCGACTTTCTGGTGTGCCTGGTTCAATCTTCAGAAAATAAATCATCTTGTCCTAGAAAGAGAGAAGAATATGCCCTGCTTTCATCTTATGCCTTACTTTTGCCTTCGGAAAATCCTAGCCCTTTTATTTCTGTGTCTTTTTGATGTTCTACGTGAGTTTTATCTCACTAAGGTCATTTTTTCCTTAAGAAGAGAAAGAGCTAAAGCCAAAAGCCTTGGTCCTCATCTGTATTAAACCTGTATTGCAGCTTCTTCTGATCTGCTAATTGCTTTGCATATCTCACAAACATTTTTTTTGGTAATCTATCTCCCTTACTATTTTTATAGCTTTTTAAAAACAACAGCTTTAATAAGATATAATTCATATACCACACAATTCAACTATTTCAAGTATAGAAATGGATTTGAGTATCTTCAGATTTATACAATCATAATCAATTTTAGGGCATTTTCATGACTCCCCAGTGACCATTCCTAGTCATTCCATTTCCTCCCTAATCCGTGCTAGCCCAGGCAACGACTATTCTACTTTTTGTCTCTATGGAATTGCCTAGTCTGTCTGTTTGGGTTTTTGTGGTACTAGGGATTAAACCCAGAGCCTTGCCCTTCCTAGGGAAGGGCTCTACCACTTGAGCTACACCCCCTGCCTGGAATTGCCTATTCTGGACATTTGATATAAATCATATTATACAAAGGTAGTCTATTGTGATGGCTTATTTCATTTAGCATATGTTTTCCAGGATCATCCACGTTGTAGCATGTATCAATGCTTCATTACTTTTATTACCAAATAATATTCAATTGTATGAATAGATCACAGTTTAGCCATTCATCATCTGATGAACATTTGTGTTTTCACTTTTTAGTTATTATGTTATGAACATTTATGTTCAAATTTTTGTATAGACATATGCTTTCACTTCTCTTGGACAAATACCTAAGGAAGTGCTGGGTTATATAGTACCTCTTTATTTAACCTTTTGAGGAACTCCAAAATGGTTATCAAAGCAACTGCACATTTTATAATCCTATTGGCAGTGGATGAGGTTCCAATTTTTCTACCTCCTCACCAACACTTGTTTTTTTTGGGAGGTGGGGATGGGTAGAGGATTGTTTTGGTATTTTTGAGACAGAGTTTCACTATATAGCCAAGGCCAACCTTGAATGCACAGTCCTCCTGCTCAGCTTCCCAAGTACTGGAATTAGAGGCTGGTTATCTTTTTATTATTGACTTGTAAGAATTCTTTATATATTCTTTTTTCTGTGGTACTAGGGTTTGAAATCAGGGCCTTGTGCTTGATAGGCAGGCACTCTACCACTTGAGCCACACCCCCAGACCCCCGATACATGATTTGCAAATACTTTCCCCATTCTGTAAGTTATCTTTTTTACTTTATTCCTAAGAGTCCTTTGTACCACAAATATTTTTAATATTAGATGAAGTCCAGTTTATTTGGGTTTTTGTTGTTATTGCTGCTTGTGTTTTAGGTATAATATCCAAGAAACTATTACTTAACGTAAGATCACAAAGATTTATGCCTATGTACTCTTCTAAGTTATACAATTTTAGCTCTTACATGTAGTCTATGATCCAGTTTGAATTTTGTTTTGTTTTGTTTTCTAAGACGGGGACTCACTATGTAGCCCCAGCTGGCCTCTGCCACAGCCTCCCAAGTGCTGGGATTACAGATATATGCCACCATCTTATCTTGAGTTGAATTTGTGTACAATGTGAATATATTCCTTTTCTGTCGTTTTATTGATATAATGATACACGTTTTAAGTCTATCTATCAAATGCATATAATTAAATCTTCTAAATAATTTCTCAAACACTAGAAAAGATGAAGTCTTTTTGTCTTTTATTCCAAAAAGAAATTAGTCTCAAGTTTCTCTTCTGTTTCATTAAAAAATTTTTCAAAGAATCAATTTTGCTTTGCTTTGCCTTATTGTGACCTTCATTTATTTGTACTCCCTACTTATCTCCGAATGTTCTTGCTTCCTAAAAATTATAGAAAAACTGTTTTCACCTATTTTCTTTTTCTGTATCATGAAGTAATCTTATTTCAGAGAAACTATTTTCCTCCTAATGCTTCTTTTACTTCACTCTTTCTTCTCTTTTGTGATACAGAACATATCATAAAGGTCCAGGTAATTTTCTTCTATTTCAATTTGTTAATCTTTTGCTGTTATTTACATATTTTGAGGGATAGCTTTTACCTGGACATGGCACCAGCAATTTGGCTTGCTGAAGGCACCACCCCAACCCTCTATTCAGTGGTCTTCTAGATTAGGAAAAAGGACAAAGCAGAGGTAAGTATAGGTTCCTATCACCATCGCCACAGGTGATATATAACTATTACCTGTTGTATCGATGTGGAGAGGCTAAAAACACACCACCATCAACTCAGACCCTACAGGTCTATATGCTAACTAAAAGGCAAGTCTAATAGAGGGGCAGGTCACTGATCCTCTCTTCCATGACACAATGTATGGATTGATCCAGGATGCAAGGTTGGCTAGAGGTGAAGGTATCTTCTTCAAGTTGGAGCAAGACAGCTTCATTTTTAGATGCTGTTGTTGAAAATATGTATAGATAGGTTCACCCCCCCAAAAAATATTTCCTAGTCCTTCTACTTATTCCACAATCATTTCTTTTTCAAAAGTTGAAATTGAGGCAAAGTTGTCCATAAAACTACTTTAACTGGCTCACAAAATACAACACCTCCAGGAAAAATATTTGTAAAGTTTCTCAAATCTTTGTAATTAAAAAATAAATCTTCATTGTGCAAAATCTTCTAAACTCTAACATTAGGTGACAGCTAGAGAGATTTCATATCTATTTTTCCAAATTACCAGTATTCACTATAAAGCACAAAATGATATAATTTATTTAAAATGCCACTAAGATTACTAATAAAGATTGCCAGGGGCTGGAAGGGAAGGGAAATGGGGAGTTATTGCTTAATGTTTACAGTTTCTATTTGGGGAAGTAAAAATAGTTTTGGAAATTGATATTCCTAGTGGCTGTATAACACTATAGATATAATTAATACCAGTGAATTGTGTTTGGGTTTTTTTGGAGGGGATTTTTTTGTTTTGTTTTGTTTTGTGAGCCTTGGGGCTTGAATTCAGGGCTTTGCACTTGCAGATTCTCTACTGCTTGGACCAACCTCGAATCCTGAATTGTATACTTTAAAAGGGTTAAAATGGTCAGTTTTAGGCTAGGTGTGGTGGCACATGCCTACAATCCTAGCACTCAGGAGGCTGAGACAGGAGGGTCTCAAGTTCAAGGCTAGTCTGGGTTATATAACCAGACCCTGTCTCAAAAAAGAGGTACATTTTATGTTTTCTATATTTTATTACAATAAAAAAGTCAACAATATATCATACTTTGAAGAACATTGAACATTTTACTTCAAAACTGAAAATATTTTGGTGATGATCATTAAGTAGTAATAAGCAAAATACACTGAGAATAAAAATAGTTTTCTTTTGTCTGACAGTACTAGGTATTGAACTCGGGGCCTACCACTTAAGCCATGCACCCATGGAATAGTTTTCTTTTGGTTTCTAACTTTACAATTACATAATTTACCTCTTAATGAAAATAATTCTAGAACCAGAACCAAATAGCAAATTAAACAGAATACCTGACTAGATCTCAACTTCTTATTTTCCAGGTGGTTCTTCTCCTGTAGCAGGGCTTCCTTCTTAGCAACTATGGCCTCCCGTTTCTTTAAGTCTTCTTCTAGTTCCTCTAATTCTTGGCGTTGGCTCAGAACTTTCTCTACTTCTTCATCTAACCATTTCTTTTGCTCATCCAATTTCTACATTAAAATTCAAAAGAAATAACATAATTTTTGTTTTTCGTTCTGCCATAAAAATTATATGGTAATAATATAAATTCAGATGGGCTGAATCCTCTAAAATGAACATTAAAACTACCAGTGAGAACACATGCTCCTGTCTGAAACCAAAAAAGTGGTTCTAGTTAACATGTTGTGCTGTGTTGTTTTATGAGAAATTAAAATTTATACTCCAAATACGTTCAAGAGCGTAAGTACATGAAAAAGAAAGGACTGACAATTTTATCTTTAATAAGAACACACTGGGAATCTTTCTCTGTTGTAGAGGTGCATACCTCTATCATAATACTTAACACGGGAGGGGGTGCTCTACTAGTCTGTCTTTCCTTTTGAGTTAATTAGTTGACTGTAGGAGCTGTGCTTTTTACTTCTCCATCTATAATACTTGCTGGAATGTCTAGCATACAGTTGGCATTCAGTAAATGTCAACTGAGTAAGTGAATGTCTGATTCAATCAATGGAATGAAAAAATGAATATGGAGTGGAAAACATAAATGGAGTATGGAAGGAAACCTAATATACACTGTAGTTTGATAACTTCAAATATTATAAAGAAGTTGGAATACTACCCAATACCTTAGCATTTTATTACGGATACTCAGAAACAAGTACAAATATAAATAGAATAAGGCTAAGATGTACTCTATCAATTGGACAGAGTAATGAAATAAACACACCAAAATAACAAACAAATAGAAAAATCAATATGGTGTTATTTTTAGTCCTTCATGAACCCGATTTAAAAAAATCTCCTAGAAATTTATGTTAAGACAATAAGGTAGTAAATATGCATGAGAAAAAAAGTGGCCAAAGCAACAAAGCTACTCAGTCCTACATCCAGATGTATACAGTATGTGGTTTATAATACTGAAACCTAAAATAGCAGCTCAACAACCATAGTTTTGTTACAGCCTTAGATAGTCCAATAGGAGACCCTATAAAGTCTGCAATTAGCTTAAACATAGTCAAAAGCATTCCTCAATTGTGAGGGGGGTTTGAATGATGAGTAAAAAATCCTTTTTAAGTTCTGTTCCAATAAAGAGAAAACCCCAAAAAAAGTACGATTCAGTCATACATTTCTGGGAGGAAAGGGTATATGGAGGAATACATCCATGCACTAAATTTCACTAATAATATTTATAAAAGTTAAGAAGAAATAACACATTTTTTCATAGTTAAGATGGATACATTTGTATTTTGAGTATAATTATGATTTTTTCTTTGGCAGTACTGGGGGTTTGAACTCAGAGCTTTGTGCTTGCTAGACAGGTACTCTACCATTTCAGCCAGTCTGCCAGCCCTGTAATTACAATTTTAAGTACACTGTTTTTCTTTCTTTTTTAAAAGTACATTAACTTTCTTATAATATTTTCAGTTTCCTTGAACTCTGAAATTAGTTTATGGGTTATAACTTTTTATTTTTAAAATGTGGAACTGAAGTATTAGTTCTTGAATATATTATGTAGCATTTATGCAATTTGACTCTGTTTGAATGTAGAACTCTGATTTTTAGAAATATCCTGTCTCCATGGGAATAAGCCAGACCATAATGGGAATAAATATAATCTAGTGAACATGGATTCCATGTTTACATTCCACAATCTTCAAATGCACCCATTTCTGCTGAAATAAGAATATAGAACATTTCTGGGTCAGAAAATTTTAATAACAAGTTTTAAAAGAAATATTAGAAATTTTATACATAAGTAGCAAAAAGTTTAGTATTTGAAGATTTTATTCAGATTCACCTCTTTTTACCTCTATTTAGACAATCACCAAAACTGAAGTAAAACCAGACACACTAAACAGAATTGACAAACCTGGAGTTGGTCTACATTTCTAAAAGGACTTTTTCTCCTTTTCAAGTTAAATGCATGAAGGTCCTCAGCTTTCAGTTTTAGACCTTCTTCCTGTTCTGTTTTTAACTGTAGTTCCTATAAAAAAAGAAATTAAAACACTTTATTATTTTTATTACCTGGCTATCATTAAATACATAAATAATAGCTTTCTTTTCTTTTTCTGTTCTTTTCATTGCAGTGCTGGAGCTTAAACCCAGAGCCTCTAGCACTGACCTATACCTACAGCCTGGGAGTAAGTTTCTTAACATTTCTTAGTTGCAAAAAGAAAGAAAATGAGTAGATGAAAGTTGAATTTGGAAAAAAAATAGTAATTTTTAGGCTGGGTTGTATAAGCTCAGTGGTAGAGCACTTGCCTAACATACTAGAGCCTTAGGTTTAATCCCCAGCATGGCAAATTAGTTAAGTAAATAAAGCCATTAATGGTTAGCTGGTCTTTAAAAAATAATAATTTTACCTTTTGCTGAGGCAATAAAAATCTAACTGCAAAAGTCAAGGTTCACTAACGTAACAGAGCAATTTTTTTCATTCTTTGTGTTTACAAATTAGCATAACAGAGTAAGAGTCTGACCAATTACAAATGTGATTTTTCCTTTCTGCCCTTCTGGGCTCACGAATTTCATAGTTACTCCACCCAAGACAGCCTTCTACTATGGGTGTATTTGAATTTATTATAGTACAAATTCAAAAAGAAAAGTAACACTCAAGTTTTCAATGCTCATGAATAGAAGTCTGCAGCATAAAAAAAAATAGCCTTGCAAGAGAGATCATGGTCCTGTGAAGAGTATTTTCCAAATTTCATTAGTTCCCATCCACATCTTAAGAGTCAAAAGTCCCAGTGTTGTTCACCACTAATGCTTGGCAGGAATCAGGAAAGAGGCCACGGAAAAGTAGCCCATTTCACACACTATTTGTTACTGGTCCATGATGGATAAGTATAGAAATTCAAAGTCTGTGGTTAGATACTTTTATATCAATTTGACAGGATAATTCTATGTGTACTGACTCCTATAATTTAAAAAATGGACTTCAGCTGGGCACAGTAGCACACCTATAATTTCACCTACTCAGGAGGCTGAGACAGGAGGATAATGAGTTTGGGGCCAGCCTGGGTACTACAGTGAGACCCTGTCTCAAAAAAAAATGGATTTTATTTGTATATTTAATTTTATTTTTCTACTAATTCACATTTCACAAAGATTGGGCTGTGACACATACAGTTAGGAAAGAGGAACTTATTAGATTCCTTGGTCTGATGTGTCACAGATGGCCAAATTGCAGTCCAGTCATTGTGGGGACTAGGCCCCAATACTGAGAGGAAGGAGAGGCCACTGGGCTAGCTGCTAGATAGCCCTAGTAGTAGTCTCAACACGGGTTTACATTGCCATTGGAGACAAGATGAAGCCAAAGCATTCCCATGCTCTAAACAGGAAGCCAGACCACCCTATGAGTTATTCCAGCTATGGGCTATATCATCAGGAGCAGGGGAAGGTAGACAAGGAAGAACAAATTCTAGCCAATCAATTCTATGCAGAAAGAGGAAGCCACGCACTCAACTACCACATACACTACACTGGATGCCATCTTGGGAAAAGAAGTATAGGGAGGAAGAGGCTAAGGGACTGAGCACTGTTATTCAAGAGACCTAAGAATTATGTAAAGGAAATATTTACATTTTCAGAGTAAGATTTGGACAGGACATCTGGTTAGTTCCTACCCTATTTCTCACAAGGATCACAGGTCTGCTATAGACTAATGAAATTTTCTGTGTCCATCTGAGTTATATTATGAGTGAGTTTGGACCCCATTTTTATTTTGCTAACTCTAGTTCATACTTACAATTTAGCCCATCTCAAGGTGCTAGCAACTATGAGATGAGAAAGAATGCCACCTTAAATAAAGGCACCTTATACTTGAAGTTGAATCACTACTACTTCTATCTGTCTGTATACATTTTTAAAATACGCTGCAGTAGGTCTAATTCCTTCTCATACATGTTGCTCCAGGCATTATTACCTTTTTCCCTATTACTATATCAAAGTCACTGTGTAATAGACACTGCTAGATTTTTTTTAAAAAATCTGTACTATTTAACCCCCATCACAATAATACTGCAAGAAAGTGACTATTATAAACTCCATTTAATACAAGGAAATGGGTGCTTAAGGAAGTCAAACAACACCCAAGATCATGCCACCACCCATAATTTCAGGAGTTCTTAGTTCTATGCATAAGTCATACTATTTTCTGGAAATGGTTTAGGCAAGTAGAAAATGAGTAAGTAGGAGTGTCATGGAAAGATGTCCTTTAGGACTGTGAGCAGGTTTTCTGTTTTTGCATGCAGTAGTGGAACTGTCAATGTACACTTGGAGCAATCTATTCCTTTTTATGGTACCAATATTCCCCATAAATGGGTCATTTTGCTAGAATTAGAAATGTGATTAGAAGGAACAAAACTGCCATACAGTTCTCTTTGAACAAGAGAGTTGTTTTTCTTTTCCCAAGCATGGATTTAGAGAATGTTATATCTTGCTGGTTCAAGTTATGGCCTGTGAGACATGAGAAGGTAAAACTCAAAGACAAAACTGACAGGCAGGCCTGATTCTTACACTGGAGGAGGGACTTTGATGAAGAGCCAAGGTTGTAAACAACAGAAGTAGAAATGGGACAGATTTAAGATATCTGGAAGATATACTATAAAGAGGAAGTCAATGATGGCTCCTAAATTTCTAGTTTACCCAACTGACTGAGTGTATGTACGTATAAATACATATATAATATATATATGCATATAATGAAAAAATATATAAATAACGTAAGCCACATTGGAGAACTATAGTCTCTTCCCCGCGAAGGGAGCTAAGCAAGGAAGATTGTGAATTCTATGACAACTTAACAAAAATGTTGTTGATTGGATTTATAAATCTGGAGATCAAAGGACAGAATGGGATTAAGGATTAAATCTAGGAGCTGTCAGAGTTTAATGTTAGCCATGGGGGGAAAAAAAAGAGAGACCACTTAAGATAGAGTACAGAAGACAAGAGCAATAGGCAAAATCTTTGAGGAACTCCATTATTAAAGGACTGATAGAATAGAATAAGCTAGAAAAAGATTTAAAAAAGAAATAAGAAAGAAGCAAAAGTAAGGAGTAAAATGTCATGAAGGTAAAGAAGAAACTATTTCAAGATGGAGTGATGAACTATGCTGGATGCATCTGAATGTTAAGATAAGGGCTTTATGCTGAAATATCACACCACACCCAACAAATGTGTTCAATTATCATAGATCAAGTAAAATTTTAATTTTAAAAAATAATAACTTTAGTGACATAGAGAACACTAGTGAACTCAAGAGCCTTGAAGTGGTGGAAGAGCCAGAACCCAGAATGAAGAGGATAAGAGAATGAATGGGAACAGAAGAAACAAATGCAGTCAACTTTTCTAAGAAGTCTGGTTATGAAGGGAAGATGAAAGAAGTCATAGTTATATGGAAAAATAAAGTTGAAGGATAATTTTAGGATGATAAAAATCTAAGATACTTAAAGACAGAATACAAGAGAAAAGGAAAAGTTGAAGATATAGAACACAAAAGGATTAAATAAAACACATGTGTGCTTAGCATATTATCATCTGAATATACTCAGTAAGTATTTACTCCTATAATAATTACCATTTTGAAGGATGAGTAACCCAAGGAAATTAAGAAAACAATTCTATTTATAATATCTAAAAGAATAAAATATCTAGGAATAAATTTATAAGACATTGATGAAATTTTTAAAGACTAAATAAACAAAGACATCCCACGTGCATGCATAAGACTTAAATGCTGTCCATGTCAACAGTATGCTTGCAACCCAGCACTTAGGAGACAAAGACAGAAGGATCCCAAACTCAAGGCCAGCCTGAGTTACATAATGACTTCCAGAGCAGTCTAGGTTACATAGCAAAAAAAAAAAAATTGTTTCGAGTCAGGGTCTTACTATGTTTGAAAGGCTAGCATGAAACTCACTATGTAGCCCATGCTGGCCTGGAACAAATGAACTGACTGATTATAACTAACTATCCCTCTTTAAAAAATAGATGTCAATATCAGCCAACAAAGTCTATAGATTCAATGCAATCCCTATCAAAAATGCAATCCTTATCAAAATTTCAGTGGAGGGTGGGGGATATAGTTCAGTGGTAGAACACTTGCCTAACATATACAAGTCCTAGATTCCATACCCAGCACCACAAGAATTTTTTCCAATGGCTTTTGCAGAAATGTAAAAGCTAATCCTCAGATTCATACAGAATTGCAGATGACTTGAAGGCAACCTTGAGAAAGAAGACCAAAGTTGGAGAACTTCTCAATTTTAAAACTTACTACCAGGCTTCCCTAATCAAAACAATGTGGTCCTGGCATGAGGACAGAAATCTACACCAGTGGAATAGAGCCGAGAGTTTAAAAACCACACATGTATGGTCAACTGACTTTTATTTTTTGCAGTACTGGAGTTTGAACTCCTGACCCTGAACTTGTGAGCCAAGTACCTATCACTTGAGCCATGCCTACAACCCATTTTGCTTTTAGTTTGTTTTTCAGACATGGTCTTGTGCTTTTGGCCAGCTTCATACCACAATCCTCCTACCTCTACATCCCAAGTAGCTGGAATTACAGGTGTGTGCCCAGCCCCCTAGATGACTTTTTAAAATAAAAACTATACATATGTAAGGTATACAACATAGTGTTTTAATATAAGTGAAATGATACTATAGCCAAGGTAATTAATATAACTATCTACTCACATAATTGCCATTTTTGTGAGAAAGAGTAGCTAAAATCTGCTATTTTAGCAAATTCTTAATGTTCTTTTTTTTTCCCTTTCCTTTTGTTTGGTTTTTTTGTTTTGGTTTGTTTTGAGGCAGTCTCACTTATGTAGCCCAGGCTAGCCCTAAACTCAAGGTCCTCCTGCCTCAGCCTCCTGAATGCTGGTGTTGCAGAAAGTATTTATTACTTTACCCAACTTACAATACAGTATTCATAACTACAGTCATAAAGCTACATATTAGATATCTAGACTTACTCATCCTGTGTAACAGCAACTTTTTTCTCTTTGGTCAACATTTGCCCCACCATAGCATCTCTCCACTGCCCTAGCAAACTGATTTTGACAGGGGTGTCAAGTCCATTCAAAGGAGAAAGAACAGTTTCTTCAGCAGATAGTACTGGTACACCTGGAGTTCTATATGCAAAAGAATGAAGTTGGACCCCTACTTTACTTCATACACGAAAACTGAGCCAAAATAGATTAACCACCTAAATATAAGATCTAAAACCATAAAACTCCTGTCAGAAAACCTAGGGCTAAGTCTTCATGACCTTGGATTTGGCAATGGGTTCTAGATTTGACAACAAAAGCATGAGCAACAAAGAAAAAAATAGATAAATTGGACTTCAAAATTAAAAACTTTTGTGCATGAAAGAATATGTAAATGTGTAAGTTGTTTACAGTGGTGTACATCTGTAGTCTCAACTACTCAGGAGGCCAAAGTGGGAGGATCACTTGAGTTCATGAGTTTGAGATCAACCTGGGCAACATCTTGAGAACCAGTCTCGAAAGAAATAAAATAACGAGTTTAAAGACAACCTAAGTAATGGGAAAACATATCTGGAAATCATGTATCTGACAAGGCTTAATGTCCAGAATATGTAAAGAATTCCTACAACTTAACAAGGTAAACAGCCCAATTAAAAAGTGAACATGGCTGGGTGTGGTGGTGCCTACTGTAATCCCAGCACTCAGGAGGCTAAGGTAGGAGGACTGAGAGTTCAAGGCCAGCCTAATCTACACAGTGAGTTCAAGGACAACCTGTGAAACATAGTGAGATCCTGTCTCAAAAAACAGGGTTGGCACAGTGGTTCAAGTGATAGAACACCTACCTAGCAAGCTCAAAGCCCTGAATTCAACCCCCAGTACCACCAGAAATAAATAAATGAACAAAGTGAACAAAGGATATGAACGACATTTCTCAAAAAGATACTCGAATAAGCACATGAAAAACGCTCAACATTATTAGTAACTAGAGAAATGCAAATCAAAACCACAATAAGATACTACTTCAGCCAGGTGCTGGTGACTCACACCTTAGTCCTAGCTACTCAGGAGGCAGAGATCAGGAGGATTGTAGTTTGAAGCTAGCTCAGGCAAAAAACTCACGAGACCCTATCTTGGAAAAACCTAACACAAATAGGACTGATGCAGTGGTTCAAGCAGTAAGAGCATCTGCCTAGCAAGTATGAGGCCCTGAGTTCAAACCCTAATGTTGCCCACCACCCCCACCCCAAAAAAAGATACTACTTCACACCTACTTTGCTGGCTACAATAAAATAGAAAATAATAATGAGATAGGGAGGAATTAGAACATTCATACATAGCTGGTGAGAATGCAAAATGATGCTGGAAACCACTGGCATTTCCTCAAAGGGCTACACATAGTTACCATATGACCCAGAAATTTTACTCTTAGGTACATACCCAAAAGGTACTGAAAGCAGGAACACTTATTCATATGCCAATGTTCTTATCATTATTCACAATAGCCAAAAGGTAAAAACAACTCACTGTCCATCAATGGATGAATGGATAAATAAAATGTGGTATTATCCATATAAAGGTGGTTTCTACTGTTGGGTTTTTTTAAAATGGGTTCTTGCTATGTTGCCCAGGCTAGCCTCAAACTTCTGGACTCAAGAGATCATCCCACCTAATCCTCCCAAGTAGCTAGGACTAAAGGTGCATGCCACTGCACCTAGCTTTGCAATGGAGTATTATTTGGCCATAAAAAGAATAAAGTTCTGATACATGGTACAACATTATGCTAACTGGAGTAAGTCAGACATAAAAGGACAGATGTTGCAGGATTCCATTTACATGAAGTATCTAGAAAAATCACATTCATAGAGACAGACAGTAGATTAGAGGTTATTAGAAGCTGAAAGAAGACAAAAATGGGGCATTATTGCTCAATGATAGAGTTTGTCTTTGGGATGATGAAATGGTTTTGGAAACAGGGATGATGGCTATACAACACTGTATTATTAGTGCCACTGAATTATATACTAAAGTTGTTAAAATTATAAATTTTATGTTTTATATATATATTACCACAGCTTATAAAAATTAAAATGATACACCAAAATCCATTGTACAGTATGTGAATTATATACCAATAAAGTGGCTATTAAAAAATGAGCAAATATGGGCCGGAGGAGTAGGTCAAGCAGTAGATCACCTGCCTCACAAGCACAAGGCTCTGAGTTTAATCCCCAGTCCCAGAAAAAAAAAAAAAGAAAACAGAAGTTAAAAAATGAGCAACAATTCTTAAGTTCCCTCTGTAACTAGATTCTGTGATTTTGGACTACAGGTATGGCTCAAGCAGTAGACTGCCTGCTTTGTGAGTACTTCCTTTGCTAGTGTGAAGCCCTGAGTTCAAACCCCAGTTCCACCAAGATAATAATATTCTGTGATTTTTTATGGCCTGAAAGTAGATTGTATCCAACATCAAAAATCCAATGATGTTGATAATGGGGAAAGCTATGCCTGTATGTATGGGACTAGATCTTCCTCTCAAATTTGCTGAGAACCTAAAACTGCTGTAAAAAAAAATAAAGTCTTGCTGGGCATGGTGGTTCAAGTCTGTAATCCTAGTTCCTCAGAAAGCAAGAGACTGGGAGGATTGCGGTTTGAGGCCAATGAAGGAGAAAGGAACTACTGGGAAGGGGGCTAGAGCCTCAATTAAAGATCCTACAAAGAAAAATCACCATACCTATTCTTTTGTGAAGTCAAAGCCTTCAAAGACGGTATTTGGAATTCAATAAATAGGTTTTACTATGTAGATGAACAAGCTTTAAAGTGAGTAGGACTGTAGTGAAAGGAAGATCAAGGATAGATATTTCACAAGCCAACTAAATCAAGACCTTGACTTCTTTAGCTCTGAGCCATTTAACATTTCATATTATACTTAGAAGGAATGTATGACAATATTACTTTGATTTTTTGTTGATCTCGCTTAATTTCTGCATCCAGTTCCTTCTTTTTTTCATTTTCTTCTTGAAGTCTTTTTTGCAGCTGTACCTTCTGATGTTTCATGCGATTTACATTCTGCTGTAGTTCACTGGCACGTTTCTCATTTTGTATCGACAGTGATGCCAATTTCTTACTATCTTGTTGTTTCTTCTGTAAGACCTAAGATCATATGGAATATTTCAAGATGAAAAAGTGTACCTCTCTCTACTAAACAATCTTTTCATTCAGTGGTAAAGGCAGCCATTTTCCCTATATTTCCATTCATTTTTGATAGGTTCACACTTGTTTGTTCTTCTACATTTCTAATTTTGCAACTGGGAAAAATCATAATTTTCACCAGATATGCAAACAATTAAAAATTATGAGCGTTCCTAATGCTGACAACCACAGCAGAATGGCCCTCTTTACTTTTTTATTAAGAATTTTCATTTAAAAAATAACTGCACATGAAAAAATTATACAATATCAAAACTGAACATATATTTTTAAAGATTCTCTCTTATCCCAGACCCCTAATCTACCTATCCTACTCTCTGACACAAAATTACTAATTGATTCTTCTAAAAATAATTTATGCATGTTGCATCTTACAGGTCTAAGATTTGTTCTATGTGACTGCATAGTATTCTACTGTACTCTTTATATCCAGCTGTAACCTAAATCATTAACTCCTTGAATTAAGATGATCTGATACAACATTTTCCCTGACAGTGTCCATTATTTTAACACCTAAAATTATTTATAGATAGCATTAAACATTTGTTACATTTTCAAAGTATTTTAACTACCAATATAAAACAACAGAGTGTTAAAATTTAATCCTGGTTAAATAAACGTATATTACACTTGTACCATTTAGTACCTTTTAGATGGCATAAAAAAGTTAAGGGGAGGTCATCCGTAAATTATTCAGACCACAATTAATTAATAGGTTGTTAACCTAAGCACATTTTCTTTTAATTAAATGTAAGGACTCATGGAGATGTTGCAGCTTACGGTGTGGTCTGTGGACCAGCACTAGATTAGACTGTTGATAAAACACTAAACACACCATTAGATTTAGTTGAGTTGCTATTATTTTCATGGATAAAGACTTTTTTTTTTTTTTTTTTGAGACAGGGTCTCACTGTGTAACCCAGGCTGGCCAGAAATTCTTGATCCTCCTGCCTTGGTCTCCTGACTCCTGGGTTTACAGGTGTGCATCACCATGTCTGGTTCATGCAAGACTTTTTGATGAAGGAAGCTCCAAACTGATTGACCTTATATCACTGGAGACCAAAAACTAACAATCTGTACATGGCCACTAGCTTGGAGGCCACAGGCCTTTGTGGTTTCCGTTATCTGGAATTGGATGCTAGTTTTGCCACATAACATAATATCAGCATATCAGTTTCTTTTTCATGTAATATTGAAAATATCAGGCAAGTGTTGGTGGCCTGTACTCCTGGCTACTTGGGAGACTGAGTCTGGAAGGACTGTGGCTTGAGGCCAGCCTGGCCAAATAGTTCATGAGACTCCCCATCTCCAAAATAACCAGAACAAAATGGACTGGAGGTATGGCTCAAGCAGTAGAAAGCCTGCTTTGCAAGTGCAAAGCCCATTCCCACCAAAAATAAATAAATAGATAAAAAATATCAATAGATAGCCTGATAAACTTACTTAAAAGTCAGACAAGCTGCCAAAAAAGGACACCTTTTGTTAGCATTAAACTATCAATGTCAAATGTAACTCTACATATATCTAAAGACATAAACATACAGATTTTTAGATTGTTTTTGGCAGTACTGGGGTTTGAACTCAGGATCTCACATGTACTAAGGCAGATATTCTACTGCTTGAGCCAGTCTGCCAGCCCGTGTGTGTGTGGTGTAGGGTGTGTGTGTGTGTGTGTGTGTGTGTGTGTGTGTGTGTGTGTGTGTGTGTGTGTTGCGATAAGGTCTCTCAAACTATTTGCCCGGGCTGGCCTCAAACTTCAATCCTCCTGATCTGTGTATGTGTGTGTGTGTATGTATTTATGTGTGTATGTTGGGTGTTTCTGAGATAAGGTCACTCAAACTATTTGCCCGGGCTGGCCTCAAACTTCAGTCCTCCTGATCTCTGCCTCTCAAGTAGCTAGACTTACAGGCATGAGCCACTAGTGTCCAGCTTCAAATTTTAGATTTTTTTGAATTTAAAACATTTTTGTTTATTTTTTTTGGCAATACTGGGGTTTGAACTCAGAGCCTCACGCATGCTACGCATGTGCCCCACCACTTGAGCCACTCCACCAGCACGAGTTTTTAGTTTTAAAAATGAAAATAATTGGCTGAACACAGCAGCTCATACCTATAATCTCAGCAATGAGGGAAGTGTAGATTGAGAGGATTGGAGTTCAAGGCCAGCCCAGACAGAAAGTAAAAGAGACCCCTTTCAACACATAAGCAAAGCATAGTTGTGTATACTTGTGGTCCCAGCTACATGAGAGGCCGTAGGTTAAGAAATCCTATGTAAAAAATAATCTAAAGCAAAAGGGCTAGAGGCATGCCTCCAGTGGCAGAGTACTTGCCTAACAAGCACAATGCCCTGAGTTTAAAATTGCAGTACCACCAAAGGAAAAAAAAAAAGGAAATAACTAAATAACTGCATTATATTAATGAGAATGCTAGTATTTCAATATTCTAAAATGGCATATTAAATTACTGAAAACTGGTATTGTCATCATCACTATGTGATTCTGAATGAGTTATTTAACCTTTCTAAAACTTAAGTTTGCTCACTTGTAAGATAAAAACATACACTTCAAAGGATTCAAAGGATCATTACTTAATGATTAAATAATACACACTGGTACATATTTGGCACCTTGTAGACACACAACAAATGCAACTATTGTACTCATCTTCATCTAGCCCCATCCTTGTCTAGTTAAACCCTATTAGTAATTTTAATTTACTCTTTTAATCACAACCATTTTAATTGTGTGAGATTAGAAAATATAAAAATAATCTTTGTAAAATCCTTAACAATGCTTAAATTGTGTATGTATATGATATTAATGTTACTCATGAGTGTAAGAATTGTATCAGGAATGAAGCTAGGATATAAACCTATGAAGTTATAAATAAAATTTTACAATAAACACAAAGGAAAAATCTTACTTGGTTTAGTCTACTAAAGTCTTGTTAAAATGAGTACTTTGTTAAGACATCATGTCTCTAACTTAAAGGATCAAGAAATGAAAAAAATTGGTTACAAAACTCTGGGAGGTGAATTCTAAGTTGAAATAATTATTCTGAAGGAAAAATGACAGGTGTTACATGTACAACCACCATTCCTCCTTGAAGCAGTTCAAACATTCAAGTCATTATTTTAACTTGGTAGTAACTTGACAGGCTGTACAGCCAACAACTGTTAGTGAATTCAGATGTTTGATGCATGGAAACTGTAGGAGGGGCTGACTTTCATCTCTACCTGTGATAGGTCTTGGAATAACAAAGATGCATAGTAAATATTTACCTTGTTGAAAAAAAGTAACAGTGACATAGTTACTTTCTCAAAATAATAATAATGCTCTGAACAAGTTAATTACAACTCAGCTCTAGCTACAATGGAAACAGCAGGAATATGTTCATTATGATCTGATTAACAAAGCACTGTGACTATCCCCAAAGCATCTAGAAATGGCTTCCTTACACAAAATCTCTCTGTAATGGAATATTCTCATAGCATAGGATTTTTAAAAAATATTTTTACAGTGGTAGGAACTGAACCGAGGGCTTTACACATACTAGGCAAGCACTCTTACTACTGAGCTACCTCTCCAGCCCTAGAACAGGGTTTTTGATTTTTTTTTTCCAGTACTGGAGTTTGAACTAAGGGCCTCACACTTGGCTAGGCTGGCAATTTACCACTTGAGCCAAGCCTCCAGCCCTTTTTGCTTTAGTTACTTTTCCAATAGGATCTCACATTTTTGCTCAGGGAAGCTGGACCATGATCCTCTTAATTTGCACCTCCTGTGTAGTTGGGCTGACAGGTGCATGCCATCACACCCAGCTTATTGGTTGAATGGATTCTTGCTAACTTTTTGCCCAGGCTGGCATGGAACACTATGCTCACAATTTCTGCTTCCCCAGTAGCTGATTAACAGGCCAGTGAGCCACTGCTCCCAGCAAGAATTTTTAATTGTAGCTATTTCTGAAGTTGTAGCTAAATTCAAGCATTAGAAAATTACAGTTGAATCATGTTACTCAAGGTTATTAACCTTTCTTAAACCAATCAGTTACAGTTTTAGAAAACTATATGAAATAGTTCCCATTTGTTGAGTGTTTACAAAGTGCCACACAGATACCTGATGTTTTATGTATATTTTTAACCATTATTTAATCCTCTGTCCTTCATAAAAGGATGCTATTTCTAACCATGTGGTTTTTTACATCAATATTAAAATAATACACTTATTGATAAAGAAATATACTACCCAGATCGTAAGATATGTAAACCAACCATAACCCGGGGGGTGGGGGAGGGATACCATCCAGTTTCTACTACTCTGAATCTCACTTCTTTCCTAACTTGGTACAGGAATCCTCAAAAGTAGCATTCTTTTTTCTTACAGTGATGGGGATCAAACCATGGGCCTCATCAACACTAGGCTACATTCCCAGCCCAGCAGGATTCTTAAGGGAGGAAGGAAAAAAACGTTTTCTCAATTATAGTTTTTAAGTTACCTGGATTCTCAGCTTTGCAGCATCCATCTTCTTACGGAATTCTTTCTGTAATTTTACCTTCAAAGCAACGTCAGAAAGATCTTTGTTTTCCAGTTCCTGCAGCTGCTTTTCTGTTTCAGTCAGTTCCACTTTTGCCTGTTCTGCTTCATGCTCTAGTTTTGTTACTTTCAGAGAATACTGTCTGCTTATAGATTTGGCATCATTACCTTCACCATAATAACAATAATAACAATTATAAATTGTGTTAAATAAAACATTAAAACAAAAATGCTCTACTCTAAAATTCCACCTGGACATTTAAGGTATAACATAAAAACCCAGCTGTCCCTACCCACCCCCAAACATAGCTTGCCACTAGGCCTCTTAATAATTAGTTCCTTAATGACTGTTCCCATTTGGTACCAGATGATCTTCTCCCTGGTTCACTGTTTGTGTTTTAGTGTGAAATTTTTGACCCTCTGAATTTGCAAGTGAGTTTTACTGACATCAAACTCCAGGTAAGAAGGCTATTAGAAATGCCTCTGTCTCTTGGCTTTCAGCTACCCATGATCTGTCTTTTTGAAATTTTAAAAAATTACTATGGAAAAAACATAAACATATCAAAAGTAAAGAAGTGAAGAAATGAAAACCCATCACTCAGATTCAATAGTTATCAATATTTTTTCACAGTTGCTTCAACTAAGCTTCCTTTTGTTTTACTTTGCTTAAATATTCTGAAGCAATCCCAGATGTTATATCATCTGATTTATACATACTTCAATAAACATCTATACAAAATATAGACATTACCAAAGTCATCACATCTAACATTAACATTAACTCATTAGTCCATATTCAGACTTCCTCAATTGCCTCAACATGTCTTTTATAAACTGGCTTATTTTAATTAGGATCTATAAAAGGTCCACAATATATCTGATTGCTAAGAATCTTTTATCTTAAGAAAAGATTTGCTTAAGAATCTTTTAATCTACAGCTGATTCCTTTTTTCATTACATTAAATTTGTTAAAGATTCTTTTAAAATGCTTTACTTAAAAGTATTTAGAACATACAGAAAAACAGGACATAGAAATCTCTACATTTGTTTTCATTCTAAGGCCAGATACTGACTCTAAAAGTTTGCTTTTGATTTATTCTAAATAGGAAACTATCTCTCAACTAGACTGGCAACTCGTGACAGCAGGAAACAGGAGTCTAGAGCTCAGAGGATGAATAGTATATGACACTGTTATACAGTTTGTTACACTGTATAACATTATACAGAAAATCTTATAATTTTTAATAAAAAGTTATTGAACTATTAAAGACAGTAAACTATCTTCTCACTCTAAAACTATATTTGACTAACTTTTTTATTATATTATTGTTGTATGACTAACTTTAAATACAAATAACTAGGGGGTTGGGGGCATACTTCAGTGGTAGAATGCATGCCTAGATGTCTAACATGTATGACTCTGGGATCAACCCCACACCCCCAAAATAAATACAATAAAACATAAAACTATTATGTATTTTAACAAATGTTGAATTATTCATCAGTTGTTCAACAGACCAATATTTTATGAAACACTAAGAGAAAAATAAACAGGGCCAATTATGTCATGATAAAATGCTAAACTGCCATTGCCATTGATTGTAAGATACATCCTGATTTCAGAGATATTAAGATATAAAAAAAGCTTATTAGATTGATTATATATATTCGTTCTGTTATTACTGCTGACTAAATTAGCTCCTATCTGGGAGAAGTTTTCAGTGAGAGAACTGGAAAGTAATCATGCATTGATCCTTTTGCTAGTCACTACCTCTGAGGATCTTTAGGTAAGTTCCAAACTGTCCTTGGTCCTAAGGAGAAGACTGACTCTATGTCAGCTCAGATATTTTAAAGAACCAGGATGGGTATATCAGGCTACAAAAGTATTTTTGGTGAGATAACCTCTATGAAAGATAATTTATTCTAGGGAGTAAATATCCTCAAATTCCACAGGCACTATCCTGAAATTGTAAGTATAAAGAAATCATTTAAATTTCTAGATCAGCTACAAGATACTCCTAAGAGGAGTCAACTGGCATTTAATCTGCCAGTGATAAAGAAGCATAGTCAAAGTCAATTAAATATCTGGGATAACTGGAGTTAGAACTGCATGGCAAGTATAGAACTAGAAATGAGGAAGGAAAATGCTTTGAGAAAGCAGAAGAGGTTGGGAAAGGAGGGGAACAATAGTTAGAAACCAAAGTTGCAGGAAAGCAGGGAAATGGGAAAGCCACTTTCTTCTTGCTGTCAGCATATTAGCATTCACCACAATTTAAGTCATTGTCATTATAGCCTTGGGTTTGAAGAAAAGTTCCCCAAAAAACTGACAATTGTTTCTTTCATGGAGTTGGAAAAAGAAATGCTAGTATCCTTTACTGAATTTCAAAGTAGTCAAGGCTGGTCATTTGGGTAAAAAACAAAAAACCTGAGTTATCCTTTCTAAGGCAAGTCTAGTACAGATAAGGAGATCTGGCACATATCCCCAACCTGACAAAGATATGAGACAAAGGAGAAGAGCTAAAAGCTTGGCTCACCTAGAAGAACAGCTCACAAAAACAAATCCTCACATCCTTAGAGAAATAAAAACTATCTCTACACCTAAGGGAACTATGGGGAGATAGAAAAGGAAGAGAATGATAGAAAGTGAATAATACTGAAACATAGTACAATCTGTGTATGAAGAAAGTATAACGAAATGCACTGAAAGCTGCTGAATAATAGGGCAATAGAGAAAGAGTAAGTAATAATGTGGGTTAATCTGATTAAAGGACAATATATACAAGTGTGAAATACCAAGGTGAATGCCCCCTTGAATAATCAATATAATTAAATATGAAGGAGCAGAAGATAAAACAGGTCCTATCCAGGAGGAGGTACCAGTGGGAGGAGGAAAGGTGTTAACAGAGAGGTGAAGGAGGGTGAATATGGTAGATGTATTTTGTATTACAACAGTAAAACTTGTGGAAATAGTTCTAAGAAGGTGGGGGGGGTGAGAGAGAATGATGGAGGGGATGAATCTAATTAAGATATACTATAAGCAAATATATAAATGTCACAATGACTCCCCCCGACTACTATTATATGCTAGTAAAAATAAAGAAAAATTAAAAACAAAGCAAAAAAATAAGAATATTTAAAATTAATGTTAAAAATGAACCATCAGCCGGGCACCAGCGCTCACACTTGTAACCTTAGCAACTCAGGAGACTGCAATTTGAAGCCAGCCCAGGCAAATAGTTTGTGAGATCCTATCTCGAAAAAACCCATCATAAAAAGGGCTGGTGGAGTGACTCAAGGCAATAGGCCCTGAATTCAAGCCCCAGTACCACAAAAAAAAAAAAAAAAAGAGCCATCTGACTGGGATGTACCTCAGTGATAAAACACACACAAGACCCTAGGTTTAATCCCCAGCACCTCAAGGGAAAAATGAATTAGAAAAATGTCTCAGACATATTCCTAGATGCCTGGTATAATATTTTTAAATTGGGGAAAAATTAAGAGCCATAGATTTCTGTACAACACAGAGTTCCCATGCTCCAAACAATTCAAAGATGAAATATCAACATAACAAACTTCTATTGATAACTAATGTCCACATATTGGCTCTAAAACATATCTTGTTATACAAGCTACAGTGGATAGTTCTAAGTTGCAAAAACAAAAGTAAATGATACCACATTAGAAGCAATCTTAGAAGTTTTTTTTTTCTTCATGTAAGTTCATTTAAATACAGGACACTACTATTACCTGTTTTTATTAACTCTTTAATCAAATCTTCTTTCATCTTGATGTTAATTTTAAGTTCTCTCATTTTTTGTTTAGCTTCATTAAGTATAAGTTCTGAATTCCTTAATTTTTGCAAATTTGACTCTGACCCTCCCGGAGACATTCAATCTTTAAATCTTTAAAACAGAAGAAACAAAATTCAGAAACAAAAATACCTGTTCATAAAAATATTCAATTGAAGTATAGTTCAAAAAGAAAAACAAAACAAAAGGAAATGAGAGGTAGCAGAGGAAGGGACAAACAGGAAGGGGAGGAAAAAAATGCATAGCAACTGAGACCTTACCTTTCTAGGTTACAGTCAGGATTTTCATTTACTTAAAAACTTTTAATTAAATGTGCGTGTGTATTATATATACATATATATATGTGTGTGTGTGTGTGTGTATATATATATATATATTTTTTTTAATCATATCCCATAGGTTTGTATACACAGCTTGTCATTGCCTTTAACTGGAATTATCTGAGATGGATGTGAAATCTCCAGTTAGGTAAAGGGGTAAATTTTTGGCTTATTAACTTCTAGTTGTATGGTGATCAGAGAATGCAGTTTACTCAGAATATGGCCCTTTACTCTTTGTTACTGTCCTGCACCAGCATGTAAATCAACGTTTTTTTCATAGCAAGGTTTTTCTCAATGAAGGAACTAGTGCACTCATTTCATGGTTGCGGACTAGAAATAAATAATTCAAGGATAGCTAGTTGAATAACACCTTTACTATTTCTACGTTTTGAAATTATTTTGGTTTATTTACAGTTAACTTTTGGTAAATATTCATGCATTTACTCTTAAAAAGAAGCTCTTTTTTTTATGCTGGAGCACTTTTCATTTTAAATTCTCTTTAACCATACTTTTCGTGTACTGACGCACTTACAGGCCGAAAGTAATGAAGTAATGAAAGGTATAAAGCATATTAGCTCAGGTATGAATATAAAAACCTGTATTCTGAGAGAGTTGGTCTGCATCTTTAGCCAAAATCTATTGGTAGAAACCCCTTTGCATTAAGGAATAAAAAGAGTGAAAAACTGAGGTAGAACTGAGAATGTAAAAGAAGTTCTGCCAGCTTGGAAAACATTCCTACCACGTTCTGGTTTTGAAAATTCCTAGATGCTTCTTAAATTATCGACTAAAAAGGGGGAGGGAGGAGAAGCTATTCATCTGATGGGACTAATATCCAGAATCTACAGGGAGCTCAAAACACTCAACCCCCAATGAAGAAATAGGCACATGAATTGAACAGGGAATTTTCAAAGGAAGAGGTACAAATGGCTAATAAATACAACTCCCCTGGCCATAAAAGAAATACAAATAAAAACTACACTAAAATTTCATGTCACCCAGATGGAATGGCTATCATCAAGAACATATACAACAACAAATGTTGGCAAGGATGCAGCAAAACAGAATTCCTACTGTTGGTAGGAATGTAAATTAATACAACCAATATGGAAAGCAGTATGGAGATTCCTTAAAAAACTAAAAGTAGCATTGCTATATGACGCATGATACCACTCATGGGCATATACCCAAAGGAATATAAGTCAGGATACAATAGAGACACTTGTATACTGGTATTTAATGCAGCTCTGTTCATAATAGCCAAGCTACAGAAACAACTCAGATGTCCTACAACTGATGAAGGAAAACAAAGGCCACATGTTTTCTCTCGTATGTGGAAGATAAATCCAAAAGATAAACATATACATAAAAACAAACATGACCATATACAAACTTATATGTAGAACATGTCAGTAATGGGGAACTACTCTATGGAATCTGGGGGAGGAGGAAAAGAAAAGAAATGACAGTGTCAATAATATCGAAATACATTACATCTGTGCAGGCAGAGGAATTAGCAATATGTATTAAAAGGTGTTGAATAATGGGGGTGTGGGAGGGAAGGGGTAAGGGAGAGTAATGGAAGGGGTTGAACTTGCCAATGTAAAGTATACTCACAGCAGAGATACTTCGAGAAACCCATTTGAACATTGACTTTGCAATTAATAATGAATAACAGGACTGTAAAATAGGTACAGTGCGAGGAAAGTGAATGGGATAGATGAAAGTGAGGGAATATGGCTGATGAACTTCATATACATATACAAAATAGAACAATGAAACTTCTTGCAATTGCTTTAAGTGGAAAAGAGAGGGTTGGGGGAGATGTACAATGTAAGGCTATTTGGAATTGTCAAAATGAATCCCCCTGTAAATGAATAAAGAAAAAAATAAATCCCGCCCCCGTACAACAAATACATTCTAATAAAAATGGGGGAAAGTGGGGGAGTGTCTTACAACGTTTAGATCTAAAATTATTTGAGAAAGTTTGAAATACCTTCATTCCCCAAACTTGACTTTTGTGATCCATCCTGGGTATCATTCAACTCAACAAGAGAACAAACAGAGCCTGGCTTTTTAATCCATGAGCAACTTGTACAGCTTTAAAAAAAAGATCAGGATAAAAGATAATTCTTGCCTTTCTAATCTGCTCTTAAATTAGTTTCTCCAAAAAAGTAACAGTAATGTTAAAAATTAATTAAAATAAGCATAATTTTACTAATATTCCTCAAAAGTATGCTCTCCATGTTGGATTCAATGGAAAAGTCATGTTTGCTTCTAGTGTAGCAGTAAAATCAGGAAATACAAAAAATTCCCTCTGAAAATTCGAATAACTACAAATGCTCTGAAAGCAAAATTATTTTTCAATTATAAGACTGATGACTTCTGTTCAAACACTAAATTCATAGCACATTAGATGACAGTAGATTAACGAAAACTATTTGCTCTTTGATAAAATGGAAAAGATACACTTTAATAGAAAAAACTACATCTTCTGTTATGTATTCCATTATAAAATTATAATATTTATTAAATGGGTATACAGGTACATACCTAATTCTAGATTTTTCCTGGCCTTCTGATTCTTCATCATCACTGTTACCAGAAAACTGGCAGTGGAGGACTTCATCTTCTTCTTCTATGTGACCCAACAGCATCTGACTTCGTGTTCGAAATCCAGCAAGTACTTTATCCAGAGAGTACATAGGAGGACTTGAGTAGACCTTGCAAAGTGATTCCCCCACCCAATGACAAAAGAAGTGATTTGTTAAATGTCTGATTTTGTCCTATTCGATTTTTTTTTTTTGGTGGGACTGGGGTTTGAACTCAGGGATTTGTGCTTACAAGCAGGCACTGTACTACTTAAGCCATGCTCCCAGTCCATTTTACCCTGGTTATTTTTTGGAAATTGGGTGTCGCAAACAATTTGCCCAGGGTGGCCTCAAACCATGATCCTCCTTATCTCAGCCTCCTAAGTAGTTAAGATTATTACAGGCATGAGCCACAGGTGCCTGGCTCTATTATTCAAATTTTTAAAGAGAAGATTAGATAGGTACTCTTAAGATAGTCGATCACTGAAAATATGCCCCCCCAAAAAGATCAAAATTAATTTCACAATACTATTGTGCACTGTGGACACATACTTCTTTCAGAATCTACACAGTTCTTTCTCTTCTGGAAAGCTCTCCTATCTTCAATGATAGATTCATGTAAAAATAATATTAAAAAGTAAAACCAAGGCATCATGGAAAACATACCAGTTCTTCAACAAAGCACAGGCATTCCCCCAATAAAAGTGCCCACCACCCAATCTTTCCATTTCAGAACACATGGAGAATTTTGGGATTACTGCTGAATGTCTATGAACCCCTCCAATCCAAATCTCAACACAGAAAGAAATCCAGCACCATGATCAGCCACTCCCCCTGCCATGACAACACTCCTAACTTGGAATGCAGAACGCATTTACTCATACTTGACATGTAGTGGTTAGATACAGCTGAATTAATGTTTCAAGTGCTATATTTAATATATGCATATATATCATAGAATAAATTTTACGGGATAGTTTAGGATCAGTCTATATTAATAACATGTTATTAATGCACATGTTATTAGAAATGCACTTTAAGTACTCAAACATGACCTTGGAAATAGTTAACAATGAGGAGTTAGAAATTGTTTTTTATACTTTTTTCTTAAGTATAAAATTACTGTATGTTTTCTTTTTTATCTCACCTCTCTGTAACCAAACATTAGGATGATTTCTCAAAATAAGTAAATAATGAAATCTCAGGACATTCAGTTTATTAATATAAATCACTATATAAGGAGCCAGGCACTAGTGGCTCATGCCTATAATCCTAGCTACTGGGGAGACTGAGATCAGGAGGATCACAGTTCAAGGCCAACCTGGGCAAACAGTTCACAAGACCCCATCTCCAAAATAGACTGGAGGTATGGGTCAAGCAGTAGAGAACCTGCTTTGTAAGCACAAAGCCCTGAATTCAAACCCCAGTCTCTCTCTCTCTCTCTCTCTCTCTCTCTCTCACACACACACACACACACACACACACCACCATTATATATGCTGTTAAAATTATAACATATAGTGAAATATGTATATCATATGGTGTTCAGCATTCAATCAGTTAACAGTAGGTCCCTCACTTATCCCTCATTAAGAGAAAAAAGTCTACCAAGTACAGAAGATTCTCTTAAATCTGATTTTTATGCCTCCTCTATTGATCACCTTCTAAGACCATCTATCACATCAACAGTAAGATGGATAGGGTTTTTGAGGTGGCCTCCCAGTTCTGGGAAATGACATATGAGGGATAGGGATTCTTCACAGAATAATCGATTCAGGAATTATTTACCTGATTAAGTACAATGTGCCCAGCATAGCCATTTCACCCTATAACTGAAAGGCATTATAGTTTCTCTCGTCAGGGTTTGGATATTTTTTTAGGAGCAAATGAAACTTTTTATTAGGAGTCAAACTTTATTTTCTGGTGTTGTCATTTGCTTTTAAATTTTATTTTTACAAAAAAAAAAGTCAAATGGCTCAGCTTAATAATGAAAAGCAAGTAAGACCTGCCACAATGAGTAATATCTAGCAAATTAGTAAATGCTTATTCCAACACAACACATAATGGTTCTTGCCCCTCAAAAGTTCCTAAAACCTTCCATAATCCAGCCTCATTCTACCCTCCCCTCATTTGCTTCTATATTCCATAGGTACCGCTAGGGATATTTTAGCAAATTAACTATACCCCAAATAGTACTGATTGTAACATAGAACTAAAATAAGCTGACTGTGCAAAAAACTGAAACTAGATCCATGTATATCACCCTATACCAAGATTAACTCAAAATGGATCAAGGATCTTAATATCAGACCCCAAACTCTAAAGTTGATACAGGAAAGAGTAGGAAATACTCTGGAGTTAGTAGGTATAGGTAAGAACTTTCTCAATGAAACCCCAGCAGCACAGCAACTAAGAGATAGCATAGATAAATGGGACCTCATAAAGCTAAAAAGCTTCTGTTCATCAAAAGAAATGGTCTCTAAACTGAAGAGAACACCCACAGAGTGGGAGAAAATATTTGCCAGCTATACATCAGACAAAGGACTGATAACCAGAATATATAGGGAACTTAAAAAACTAAATTCTCCCAAAACTAATGAACCAATAAAGAAATGGGCAGTGAACTAAACAGAACTTTCTCAAAAGGAAATTCAAATGGCCAAAAAACACATTGAAAAAATGCTCACCATCTCTAGCAATAAAGGAATGCAAATTAAAACCACACTAAGATTCCACCTCACCCCTGTTAGAATAGCCATCATCAGCAACACCACCAACAACAGGTGTTGGCGAGGATGGGGAAAAAGGAACCCTCTTACACTGTTGGTGGGAATGTAGACTAGTACAACCACTCTGGAAAAAAATTTGGAGGCTACTTAAAAAGCTAACATGATCTACCATTTGATCCAGCAATACCACTCTTGGGATATACCCAAAAGACTGTGACACAGGTTACTCCAGAGGCACCTGCACACCCATGTTATTGCGGCACTATTCACAATAGCCAAGTTATGGAAACAGCCAAGATGCCCACCACTGATGAATGGATTAAGAAATGTGGTATCTATACACAATGGAATTTTATGCAGCCATGAAGAAGAACGAAATGTTATCATTCGCTGGTAAATGGATGGAATTGGAGACATCATTCTGAGTGAGGTTAGCCTGGCCCAAAAGACCAAAAATCGTATGTTGTCTCCCTCATATGTGGACATTAGATCAAGGGCAAACACACAAGGGGATTGGACTTTGAGCACATGATAAAAGCGAGAGCACACAAGGGAGGGTGAGGATAGGTAAGACACCTAAAAAACTAGCTAGCATTTGTTGCCCTTAACGCAGAGAAACTAAAGCAGATACCTTAAAAGCAACTGAGGCCAATAGGAAAAGGGGACCAGGAACTATAGAGAAAAGGTTAGATCAAAAAGAATTAACCTAGAAGGTAACACCCACGCATAGGAAATCAATGTGAGTCAATGCCCTGTATAGCTATCCTTATCTCAACCAGCAAAAACCTTGTTCCTTCCTATTATTGCTTATACTCTCTCTACAACAAAATTAGAATAAGGGCAAAATAGTTTCTGCTGGGTATTGAGGGGTGGGGGGAGAGGGGGCGGAGTGGGTGGTAAGGGAGGGGGTGGGGGCAGGGGGAGAAATGACCCAAGCCTTGTATGCACATATGAATAATAAAAGAAAAAAAAATACCCAACACAAAACAGGGCTAGTATAGCACCTAACTAGCAGCATCGAAGCCCTAAGTTCAAACCCAGTTACCACACAAAACAAAAACCAAATACATGCCATCTGGGTGGTTTGGCACACAGGATGGGGAAGATCATTTAAGTTTAAGGCCAGCCTCCCCGGCTACATAATGAGAAACCCCTGTCTCCCCCAAAGGTAAACAGTATCGTTAAGGGGAGGATACTTGTGGGAGGGGAAGGGTAATGAAAAAGGTTAAAGGAGAGTTGAATTATGGTTTAATGTACTTTCCATAATGCATATATGAATATGGAACCTGTTATCAATTTAAGACCGGGGTGGGGAAAGAAAATAATGGAAGGGGACGAACCAAACGCAGGTTCGTATATATGGAATGTAACAGTGAAACCCCGTCTAACTATCATATACTGATAAAATGTTTAACAAAACAAGAGCCTGTCTCAAAAAACAAAAACACACACACCTAGAAAGAATAAATATTATGTGTTTTCCTTCATGTGTGGAATTCTAGACCTAAAAACAAACAAACAAGACCATGAATGTAAAGGAGAGACTATTATGGGGGCAGGACCAGAGGAAAGGCAGCACAAGAGAAAGGTGGGGATGAATAGACAATTAAAAACACCATTGTAATGGCACTATGAAAAATGTCATAATAACATCCTGTTAATCTTGTAAATAAAAATTTTATCATACTAGTACTTCGTGTGTATGATCATGTTTAAAAAGAAAAAAAAATAAACCCTAATTTTGACTGTTAATACATACAATAAAAATGCAATCTTATTTAAAATTCATGTGGTTCAAGATATTAATATACAATACCAAGACATATAAGTTGGAAGTGTTAAATGGAGTCCTTACATCAACCCGAGAAAAGAGTAAAAATTACTGCATTAAAATCAGACTTTAAGTCCAGGTGTATGGTAAACACTCTACGGATAACCACTAAAAAACAAGAATGGCTCAAGTGGTAGCACTACCTTCGCTAGCAAGCATGAGGCCCTGAGTTCAAAGCCCATATCAACCAAAAGCAAACAAAAAAAAGGGCTGGAGTATATGATTGAACAGTAAAGTGGCCTGCTTTGCAAATGCGCAGCCCTGAGTTCGAGCCCCCAGTACTACCCAAAAAAATAAAATAAATAAAAAGTTCGAGTATGCCAATTAAGGAATAAAAACAACAATAGAAGTGTAAGGAAAGAAAAAGGAACACTTTGAGGGAGTAGGAATAAATAAGAGTAACAATGACTTTAACCAAAAATGTAAGAGTAATTATGCTAAATTCCATTAAATGAACTAAATAATCCCTGTTTGTTTACAAGACCATCAAGAGAGGATTGTAAAATTAGCCATATGCTTGCTTACTTTAAATAAAAACAATTAAAATAGACACGCAGAAAGATTAAAAAACT